GGGCTTGTTCCTGCCTCTGTGCTCTGGGCTGCTGCTGGTGGTGTTGACTTGGTGCTGGGCTCAGACCTGGGCCAGCCGGCGTGCGAGGCAAGTGCCTTACCCGCTGTACTCACCTCTGCCCCCCGGGACCCAGGGTCACTGGGTTCTTGTCTCGCCTTGCAGAAGGGAATTTCAGGAGTAGACGGCCCCCCAGTTCTTGTTCACGGCTGTGGGGACTGTGGGATTCTGTGTTTCCCCGGGAGCTGTCGGCAACTGTGTTTCCCGGGGAGCCGTTGGCAACTGTGTCTCAAAGCCTGCACTCCCCCACAAAACTTGTCCTGCCCCTCCATGCTGGGGTGGGCGGATGGGGGGCCGGGGGGGGGGGGGGATCCCGATGATTCTGCAGTCCAGGGCAGATGCGGGCTTCAGGCAGGGAGCGTCCCGGGCCCCTCGGGCGGTTCCAAATGCCACTTAAATCGCAATTAGCCAAAGTGCTTTTCCAGGTGCGCCAGGCTGGCTAATTGCTCGGGTCGTTAGCGGAGATTCGGTTGATGGATGGAGTCTTGGGGGGTCTCCTGAGGGGTGCGGCCAGGCCTGGGAGCCCCGCTCAGCTCGGCGTGTGTGTGTGTGTGTGTGTGTGTGTGTGTGCGTGTGTATGTGTGCATGTGTGTGTGCATGTGTGTGTGTGCGTGCGTGCGTGTGTGTGCGTGTGTATGTGTGCATGTGTGTGTGCGTGCGTGTGTGTGTGCGTGCGTGTGTGTGTGTGCGTGTGTGTGTGTGCATGTGTGTGTGTGTGCGTGCGTGTGTGTGTGTGTGCGTGTGTGTGTGTGCATGTGTGTGTGTGTGTGCGTGTGTGTGTGTGTAGGGGGAGATCCCCTTCTCTCCACCGGAGGTCTCTCGGCTCATCTCTCAAGCCCCCAACTCACCCCAAGGCCCTCTGTGCCCACCCGCACCAAAGCCCACTTGCTTTTGCCAGAACCCCCCGACTCCCTCCGACGCCGCAGTGCGCTCAGTGGCATTTCTGTGGGTCGAGCCCGACTTATTCGCACCGCCAACCCCAAATGTGAGTTCGCAAACCCGTTTTGCCGACACGGCCCTCAGGTCCTGTCCGCAGACTCGGCACGGTGAGACTCAAGCAGAACCCCCAAGATTTATTCTGCCCCCCACCCCCACCCCAACCTGACATCCCCTAGGACTCAGCCTCGAGTTAATGCTGGCAGTTTCCCCGCAGGGAGATTGCACAGGAGAGAGACAGGCACTGCACTGCATCAGATTAGAGCCCGCTATGTGTCTGCATCTGGATCTGATGTGGGTCTTCCGTGGCCACCGCTCAGCTGTCGGACGTGACTCCCGGGGGACCCTCCCGGCCTCCTCCCAGGCTTGGGATGGGACCGTCCCACCTGCTGGGGGCTCATTTCTAAAATCCCTTTCTTTGGGGGAGTGGGGTCGCTGGGGTGAGCGGGCCACCCCGCTGGGGTTCGAACCACGACTCGGATCCTCCCTCTTTTTTTTTTCATTTATTAAAGACTCCTGGGGGGGGCTTTTGGGGAACAGTTTCCCCCCAAAATGCCCGGACGCGTTGCGCACTGGGTTTGGGCATTCGCAGGGCAGAGAATGATGGGTGCATGGAGAAACCACTCTGGGAACAGCCAATAGCTGTCCGGCCGCGTGCCAGGCAAACGCCCCAGTCACTGTGTTATCGCTGACGCTGCCCCCTCTGACCCCTTCCAGAGATCGATGCGCCCAAGAACCTGCGTGTGGCCGCCCGCACGGCCACCAGCCTGCACGTGGCGTGGGACAACAGTGAGGCAGAAGCTCAGGCCTATAGGCTGGTCTACAGCACGCTGGCCGGAGAACAGTACCACGAGATGCTGGTCCCCAAGGCCCCGGGACCCGCCAGCAGCGTCACGCTGACCGGTGAGGGGCCGTCGATGGTGCCATGGGGGGCGGGCGGGGGCGCCCAGACCTGTGCCTCCCGCCGTCACCACACCCTCCGTGTTCCAGTTCCCGGGGAGTGACCCCCTTCGGGCCGCCGACCACTCGTGGCCCCAGTTGTGGCCACGGCATCGGGCTGTCCCTGTGCCCCGTCACCCGGGCACATGTCCCCGTTGCACGAGCATCTCGGTGACGTCCTGTTCCTCGGGTCACCACGCCCCCGCCCTGCCCTCGCCCACTTCTCAGCGTCCCTCTGAGCCCCCCGGGGGCCGTGGCCTCTGCGGCACCCGTGTCCTCTCTGGAATCGGACAGGGGGTCCTTGGGGGGGACCCGTCTCCACGGGGACGGCCGGTGTGAAATACGCACCGTGAGGGTGTCCAGGGCCTGCTCAGGGCCACGTGGGCGGCTGGGTGGGTGGAGGGACGGAGAGTGGGTGAGTTCGTTGAGGAAGGGATGGAGGGAGGGATCGTGGGCGGAAGGATGAATAGGCCAGTGAAGAGAGAGTGCCAGGGTTCACCGTGGCGGGGCCGGAGCGAGAGCACAGCGGGGAGGGCGTTGGCCTGGCACGTGGGTGACCCGGGTTCGATCCCCGGCATCCCATAGGGTCCCCTGAGCACCGCCAGGAGTGATTCCTGGGTGCATGTGCCAGGAGTAGCCCTTGTGCATCTCAGGGTGTGACCCAAAAAGGAAAAAAAAAGACAAAGTGATACAAAGTGTCATAGTGTTTTGAAGGTGATACAAAGTATCATAGTGTTTAATGGGTGATACAAAGTATCATGGTGTTTAAAAGGTGATACAAGGACTGGAGCAATAATACATCAAGGAAGGTGTTTGCCTGGCACGCGGCCAACCCGGGTTCGATTCCCAGCATTCCATAGGGTCCCCCGAGCACCGCCAGGAGTGATTCCTGAGTGCAGAGCCAGGAGTCAGCCCTGAGAACTGCAGGGTGTGGATTCTCTCTCTCTCTCTCTCTCTCTGTCTCTCTCTCTCTCTCTCTCTCTCTCTCTCTCTCACACACACACACACACAAAGATGTAGGGTGCGTTTATAGGGAAAGGTGGGCCCTTTAAAAACCTGGAAAATCTCTCTGCGCGCTGTTATATTCCAAGATGTATTGGCCTCAGAAGCCCACTCCGTTACACACACACACACACACACACACACACACACACACACACACACTGAAATCCCTCTGTGTACTGATATAAGTGGCCTTGGATTGCCCGCTCCATCACACAAACACAAACACACACGATGAAATTCTTCTGTGTGCTGATATAAGATATCTTGGCCTCAGAGGCCCACTCCATGACACACACACACACACACACACACACACACACACACAGAAAAAAGATGTAGGATGCAGAGCCAGGAGTCAACCCTGAGAACCTCAGGGTATGGATTCTCTCTCTCTCTCCCTCCCTCTCTCTCTCTCTCTCTCTCTCTCACACACACACACACACACACACACACACACACAAAACAGATGTAGGGTGCATTTATAGGGAAAGGTGGACTCTTTAAAAACCTGGGAAATCTTTCTGCATGCTGATATATTGCAACATGTATTGGCCTCAGAAGCCCACTCCGTTACACACACACACACACACACAGTGAAATCCCTCTGCATGCCGATATAAATGGGCCTCAGATGCCCACTCCAACACACACACACTCTCACACACACACACACACACACACACACAAACACACACTATAAAATCCCTCTGTGTGCTGACATGATGTATTGGCCTCTGATGCCCGCTTGTTACACACACACACACACACACACACACACACAGACCACAGACACACTATGAAATTCTTCTGTGTGCTGATATGAGATGTATTGACCTCAGAGACCCACTCAGTTACACACACACACACACACACACACACAGACCACAGACACACTATGAAATTCTTCTGTGTGCTGATATGAGATGTATTGACCTCAGAGACCCACTCAGTTACACACACACACACACACACACAGACCACAGACACACTATGAAATTCTTCTGTGTGCTGATATGAGATGTATTGATCTCAGAAACCCACTCAGTTACACACACACACACACACACACACACACACAGAGACCACAGGCACACTATGAAATTCTTCTGTGTGCTGATATGAGATGTATTGATCTCAGAAACCCACTCAGTTACACACACACCCACACACACACACACACACACACACACAGAGACCACAGACACACTATGAAATTCTTCTGTGTGCTGATATGAGATGTATTGATCTCAGAAACCCACTCAGTTACACACACACACACACACACACAGACCACAGACACACTATGAAATTCTTCTGTGTGCTGATATGAGATGTATTGACCTCAGAGACCCACTCAGTTACACACACACACACACACACACACACACACACACACACACACAGACCACAGACACACTATGAAATTCTTCTGTGTGCTGATATGAGATGTATTTACCTCAGAGACCCACTCAGTTACACACACACACACACACACACACACACACACACACACACAATGTTGTACCTCTTGGCAAAGCACCCCCAAGCAAGTTCTCCAAGGACGGTGAAGGCACAGGCAGGCAGAGAGCCCTACCCCCCCACCCGGACGGCGAGTCCTTTAAATTCTACTCGACAGTCATTGGGGCGAAGCCGATTCCAGTGTAAATTATTGAACGTTTCATTTACGCTTTATAAATAAGGAACCTGGGCAAAGCCGTGGGCGCCCAACCCGCCCGGCGACACGTGGCTCCTGCCTCCGTCCCTTCATCCGGGCTGCAGGTGCCCGACTCTTATTACGGGCAATTGAAGGTCTCGAGCTCAGTGGAGTAAAGTAGTTCCTGTCCCCGAGAGAATTGAATTTCCCCCCCCGAAAATGTACCTGCACTGCATGGGGAATATTGATGGAGTTCATTGTGGGCTCTGAGGAACTGCACCGCACCCTGAAGTCTCCCTCTTCCCCCACCCACACCAGCCACTGGGACCTCCCGGGCACTGCTTTCATCCGAGTGAACAGGCTGAAACCACCCAGGTGCAGTCAGAAGACCAGCCAGTAAACTGAGTCACCACAAATAAACAACAAAACTAAACAATTTTTTAAATTTTTTATTTATTTTTGCTTCTTGGGCCCAAACAATTTTTTTAAAGGCTCGGGGTTGCATACCCAGGCCCCCCTCCTGTAACTGCATCTCTCCCGGAGCCTGAACTGTGTCGGGACTGACTGACTGATGCCATGATAGCCTCTGTCCACACCCAGGTCTGTCTGTCTGTCTCTCACACACACTGGTAGCCTTAATTCCCGCTTCTTCCCACAGATCTGATCCCTGGCACCGAGTACGGGCTGGGCATCTCCGCCCTCATGAACTCCCGGCAGAGCGTGCCGGCCACCATGAACGCCAGGACGGGTGAGTGGTCAGCATACCAGAAGGTCAGGCTGAGGGTCCGGTGGCTTGTCCAGGGGCCCGGGAATCAGCCTGTGCCGCTGGGGGAGGTGAGGTGGGGGCCATAGCTAGGCTGGGAGGGTTCTTGCTTTGCACGCGGCTGACCCGGGTTCGATCCCCGGCCTCCCATAGGGTCCCCCGAGCACCGCCAGGAGTGATTCATTCCTGAGTGCAGAGCCAGGAGTCATCCCTGAGTGTCACAGGGTGTGATGGAAAAATGAGGGGGGAGAGGAGAGGGAGGGAGAGGGAGAGAGAACGAGCCTTGATGCAGCTGACCTGGGTTCGATCCCCAGCACCCCCCCCACCTGCCAGGAGTGGTCCCTGAGTGCAGAGCCGGGAGTCAGCCCTGGGCACTGCCTTAGGTGACCGCATCATAAACGGAACCCAGAGAAGTGCCGAGAGCCATTCCGGGGGCCGAAGCCCCGGGCCGGGGGCGCTGGGTGATGAGGGGTCGGCCGGGCAGATGGCAGCCGGATTTGCCCGGAATTCGGGGTGCGTGGGACTGTCCTGTCTGCCGGCCCCTCTGCTTTGGGGGACGCAGCCCCCACAGAATCCAGCCGGCCCCCTGCCCCCCAGCAAGACTTGCTCCCTCCGACGGGGTCCGCTCAGAGACCCCCTCATATCGCCCGCAGAACTGGACGGTCCCCGGGACCTGACGGTGAGGGCCTCGTCGGAGACGTCCATCTCCCTCCTGTGGACCAAGGCCGCCGGCCCCATCGACCACTACCGGATCACCTTCACGCCGTCCTCGGGCGTTGCCTCGGAGGTGACCGTGCCCCGGCACGTGACCGCGTACACCCTGACGGACCTGGAGCCCGGGGCCGAGTACATGATCTCCGTCACCGCCGAGCGCGGCCGGCAGCAGAGCCCGGAGGCCACTGTGGACGCGTTCACAGGTGACGGGGGACGGGGGAGTGGGGACCCCCGGGTCCGGGAGGCATGAGGCTGAGCGTGACACATCAGCCAGGCAGACCCTTGGGGGGGAGAGAGAAAGGGAGAGGGAAAGAGGGAGAGGGAAAGAGGGAGAGGATGTTCTAGAACCTTCTGTGCATGTTCTAGAACCTTCCACGCACCATCTAGAACCTTCCGCGCACCTTCTAGAGCCTTCCATGCACATCCTAGAACCTTCCTGCACCGTCTAGAACTTTTTGTGCACCACCTAGAACCTTTCGTGCACCTTCTAGAACCTTCTGTGCACATTCTAGAGCCTTCCGTGCACCTTCTAGAACCTTTCATGCACATTCTAGAACCTTCCACCTTCCGCACACCTTCTAGAACCTTCCATGCACATTCTAGGACCTACCGTGCACCTTCTAGAACCTTTCATGCACATTCTAGAACCTTCCACCTTCCGCACACCTTCTAGAACCTTCCATGCACATTCTAGGACCTACCGTGTACCATCTAGAACCTTCCATGCACATTCTAGAACCTTCCGTGCACCTTCTAGAACCTTTCATGCACATTCTAGAACCTTCCGTGCATCTTCTAGGACCTTCCATGCACCTTCTAGAACCTTCTGTACACCTTCTAGAACCTTCCATGCACATTCTAGGACCTGCCGTGTACCGTCTAGAACCTTCCATGAACATTCTAGAACCTTCTGTGCACCTTCTAGAACCTTCTGTGCACATTCTAGAGCCTTCCGTGCGCCTTCTAGAACCTTTCATGCACATTCTAGAACCTTCCACCTTCCATACACCTTCTAGAACCTTCCATGCACATTCTAGAACCTACCGTGTACCATTTAGAACCTTCCATGCACATTCTAGAACCTTCTATGTACCTTCTAGAATCTTCTGTGCACATTCTAGAGCCTTCCGTGCACCTTCTAGAACCTTTCATGCACGTTCTAGAACCTTCCACCTTCCGCACACCTTCTAGAACCTTCCATGCACATTCTAGGACCTACTGTGCACCGTCTAGAACCTTCCATGCACATTCTAGAACCTTCCGTGCCATCCACCCCCCACAGGATTCCGTCCCATCTCCCACCTGCACTTCTCGCATGTGACCTCCTCGGGTGTGAACATCACCTGGAGTGACCCCTCCCCGCCACCTGACCGGCTGGTCCTCAGCTACAGCCCCCGGGACCGCGAGGAGGAGACGCGGGAGCTGGCGCTGGAGGCGGCCCGGAGGCATGCAGTGCTGACCGGGCTGCTGCCCGCCACCGAGTACACCGTCAGCCTAGTGGCCGTGCACGGCGCCGCCCGCTCCGAGCCCATCGTGGGCTCCGTCACCACAGGTGAGGCCCGCGCAGCAAGGGGTGGGGGGAGACGGCCCCTCCGGAGCGTCCCTGTCGGCGCCTGGAGCCCGTCACTCCTCCTGAGGCTGCAGGGTCAGTTCCCGTGGGCCCCCGCACCAGATGGCACCTGGGGGTGGGGTGGGGCGGGTTTGCAGGTGCAAAGTGGACGGTCCCCTCCTCAGCCCTGCCTGGGATGCCCAGCCATGAGACCCCCACCCCCCGCGTGACCAAGCGGGGTCCAGGCTCCGGCTGGCCCCGACGGGGCTGTCCCCTCCTGTCCGGACAGAGGGAAGGCCACTCGGGTTTTGGGCTGCTCACCGTGGGCCCAGAACCTCTGCAGAACCCCCAGGCAGACCTGCACAAGATTTAAAGTAGAAGGGGGCTAGGGGGGCAGAGCGATAGCCCAGCGGGGAGGGCGTTGGCCTGGCATGCGGCCGACCCGGGTTCGATCCCCGGCATCCCATAGGGTCCCCCGAGCACCGCCAGGAGGGATCCCTGAGTGCAGAGCCAGGAGTCAGCCCCGAGCATCGCCGGGTGGGACCCAAAAAGGAAAAAATAAAAAATTTCAAGTGGGGGGGCTGGAGAGAGACGGCTCAGGCCTGATGGAGGGGGGACTGGGTCTAATCCCCAGCATCACGGGGGTCCCCCAGCAGCACTAGGAGTGATCCCTGAGCACCGAACCAGGAACACACACACACACACACACACACACACACACACACACACACACACTCACTCTCTGTAGGTAGCAATCAGGGCCTGAGTGATAGCACAGCGGGGCGAGCGTTGGCCTACGTGTGGCCGACCCGGGTTCGATCCCCGGCATCCCCTAGGGTCCCCCGAGCACCGCCAGGAGGGATCCCTGAGTGCAGAGCCGGGAGTCAGCCCTGAGCACCGCCGGGTGGGACCCCAAAAAACAAACAAGCCGAGATCGAAACAGGCACAGACACACAGACTCCACGGACAGTGTCCCCGCAGCCTGTCCCCACCCACGCTGAACCTGGCCAGCTTGACTCCCTGGTGTCCATGATGACCTCCTGGTGTCACCCGAGGCGGTGACCATGGCTGTGGCCATCGGTCGCTCTGAGGTCAGCAGCCGGCAGCCTGCCACTGGCCCTGTCTGCTCCGGCCCCCGCGACACCCTCCCTCACACTCTGCTCTGCCCCCCGCTCCCGGCTTGCAGGCATCGACCCCCCCAGGGACATCACCATCGGCAACGTGACCAAGGACTCGGTCGTGGTGTCCTGGAGTCCCCCGATCGCCGCCTTTGACTACTACCGCGTCTCCTACCGGCCCACGCAAGGTCACAGCCCTGGGGCGCCGGGTGTGGGGTCAGCCCTCGCCCAAGAGCCAGGGTTGGGGATGCCAGTTATGGGGGGCGGGCCCTGGCGGGGACCCTGAAGGCCGTGGGTCCCCCTAACGCTGCAGCCTGGAGAGACAAGGCAGGGGACGCCAGCTCCGGAGTCAGCCCTGAGCAGAGCCAGGAGTCAGCCCCGAGCACAGAGCTGAGAGTAAACTCTGAGCACAGAGCCAGGAGTCAGCCCTGAGCACTAAGCCAGGAGTTAACCCTGAGCACAGAGCCAGGAATGATCCCTGAGCACTGCCAGGATTCAGCCCTGAGCACAGACCTAGGAATGAGTCCTGAGCACAGAGCCAGAAGCCATCTCTGAGCAGTGAGCCTGGAGTCATCCCATAGCACTGATCTGGGAGTCAGCCCTGAGCACTGAGCCGGGAGTCAGCCCTGAGCCCGCTGGGGAGGCCAGGAGCACAGCGGCCGAGGGAAGCAGCTCTGGGCTGGGCTCCGGGGGGCGAGTGGGACGGGCTGTTTCCCCCGGCTGGGGTCCGGGTGCCGTGCGGCCTCACACCTCCCCTGCCTGTCCGCAGTGGGCCGGCTGGACAGCTCCGTGGTGCCCAACACAGTGCGCGAGTTCACCATCACCAGGCTGCACCCCGCCACCGAGTACGAGATCAGCCTGAACAGCGTGCGCGGCCGTGAGGAGAGCGAGCGCGTGTGCACCCTCACGCACACAGGTGCGGGCCGGGCTGCCGGGGCGGGTGGCCGGGCGGGGTGGGACCCTCCAGCTCACTGTCTGCCAGGGCGAGAGCGCAGCGGGAGGGCACTCCCTGGCACACGGTTGCCCCGTGCTGATCCCCAGCACCCCGTAGGGCCCACCCAAACCGCCCAGAGTGATCCCGAGTGCAAAGTCAGGAGTGAGCCCTGAGCACAGAGCCAGGAGTCAGATCTGAGCACTGAGATAGGAGTGAGCCCTGAGCACAGAGCCAGGAGTCAGCCCTGAGCACAGGGCCAGGAGTCAGATCTGAGCACTGAGATAGGAGTCAGCCCTGAGCACAGAGCCAGGAGTCAGCCCTGAGCACAGGGCCAGGAGTCAGATCTGAGCACTGAGATAGGAGTCAGCCCTGAGCACAGAACCAAGAATCAGATCTGAGCACTGAGATAGGCATGAGCCCTGAGCACGAGGCCAGGAGTAATCCCTGAGCCCCACGAGGAGTGAGCCCTGAGCACAGAACCCAGAGTCAGATCTGAGCACTGAGATAGGAGTCATTCCTGAGCACAGAGCCAGGAGTGAGCACAGAGCTAGGAGTCAACCCCGAGTACAGAACCCAGAGTCAGATCTGAGCACTGAGATAGAAGTCAGCCCTGAGCACAGAGCACAGACCTAGGAGTGAGCCCTGAGCACAGAGCCAGGAGTCATCCCTGAGCACTGCCAGTGAGCACAAAGCCAGGAGTCAGCCCTGAGCACAGAGTCAGCCTTGAGTACAGAGCCAGGAGTGAGCCCTGAGCACAGAGCCAGGAGTCAGATCTGAGCACAGAACCAGGAGTCAGATCTGAGCACTGAGATAGGAGTCAGCCCTGAGCACAGAGCCAGGAGTCAGATCTGAGCACTGAGATAGGAGTCAGCCCTGAGCACAGAGCCAGGAGTCAGTCCCGAGCACAGAGCCAGGAGTCAGATCTGAGCACTGAGATAGGAGTCAGTCCTGAGCACAGAGCCAGGAGTCAGATCTGAGCACTGAGATAGGAGTCATCCCTGAGCACAGAGCCAGGAGTCAGCCCTGAGCACAGGGCCAGGAGTCAGATCTGAGCACTGAGATAGGAGTCAGCCTTGAGCACAGAGCCAGGAGTCAGTCCCAAGCACAGAGCCAGGAGTCAGATCTGAGCACTGAGATAAGAGTCAGTCCTGAGCACAGAGCCAGGAGTCAGATCTGAGCACTGAGATAGGAGTCAGCCCTGAGCACAGAGCCAGGAGTCAGTCCCGAGCACAGAGCCAGGAGTCAGATCTGAGCACTGAGATAGGAGTCAGTCCTGAGCACAGAGCCAGGAGTCAGATCTGAGCACTGAGATAGGAGTCATCCCTGAGCACAGAGCCAGGAGTCAGCCCTGAGCACAGGGCCAGGAGTCAGATCTGAGCACTGAGATAGGAGTCAACCTTGAGCACAGAGCCAGGAGTCAGTCCCAAGCACAGAGCCAGGAGTCAGATCTGAGCACTGAGATAAGAGTCAGTCCTGAGCACAGAGCCAGGAGTCAGTCCTGAGCACAGAGCCAGGAGTGAGCACAGAGCCAGGAGTCAACCCTGAGCACAGAACCAAGAATCAGATCTGAGCACTGAGATAGGCATGAGCCCTGAGCACAGAGCCAGGAGTAACCCCTGAGCCCCATGAGGAGTGAGCCCTGAGCACAGAACCCGGAGTCAGATCTGAGCACTGAGATAGGAGTCATCCCTGACCACAGAGCCAGTCATCCCTGACCACAGTCCTGAGCACAGAGCCAGGAGTGAGCACAGAGCTAGGAGTCAACCCCGAGAACAGAACCCAGAGTCAGATCTGAGCACTGAGATAGAAGTCAGCCCTGAACACAGAGCACAGACCTAGGAGTGAGCCCTGAGCACAGAGCCAGGAGTCATCCCTGAGCACTGCCAGTGAGCACGAAGCCAGGAGTCAGCCCTGAGCACAGGGCACAGACCTAGGAGTGAGCCCTGAGCACAGAGCCAGGAGTCATCCCTGAGCACTGCCAGTGAGCACGAAGCCAGGAGTCAGCCCTGAGCACAGCGCCAGGAGTCTTCCCTGAGCACAGGACCGGGGGACCTCGTGGGGCTGTGAGGACAGAGTCGGCATCAGGGGTCGGGGCTGAGGCCCGGAGGCGGCGGCGGGACTCGCCCTCCTCCCCGCCGCTGTCCCCTGTCCGTCCCGCACAGCCCTGGACAGCCCCTCGGAGCTGACCGCCACCAACGTCAGCCCCACGGAGGCGTTGCTGCAGTGGCGGGCGCCCGTCGGGGAGGTGGAGAACTACGTCATCGTCCTCACCCACTTCGCAGGTGGGTGCCTGGTCCCCTCCGCGGTGACCCCAAGGAGGCTTCTGGGGGCCGGAGCGGGAGCCCAGCGGGGCGGGCGTTGGCCTGGCGCGCGGCCGGCCCGGGTTCGACCCCCGGCATCATCCCACGGGGTCCCCCGAGCACGGCCAGGAGTGATGCCCGAGTGCGGAGCCGGGAGTCGGCCCTGAGCATCGCCCGGCGGGTCCCAAACCAAACCAAATAGCGTCATCTTGGGGGGCCCCCACGGGCCGGGTCACCCACCCTCGCTTCCCTCACAGTGGCCGGGGAGACCATCCTGGTGGACGGGAGCCGCGAGGAGCTGCAGCTGGTGGACTTGCTGCCCCGGACCCGCTACACGGCCTCCCTGTACGCCACCAGCGGGCCACTCGCCAGCGACACCATCAGCACCAACTTCTCCACGCGTGAGTCGCAGAAGCGGCCGGGGGGGACGTCGGACGGTCGGGGGCAGATTCTCCGGGCGTCTCGGAGCCCGGGACGAGGTCGGGCGCTGGGTTCCCAGCCCAGCTCTTCCCCAGGAGTCCAGGGTCCGAGGGCTGGACGTGAGGCAGGGAGGTGAGGTGGGAGGGATCCTGACCAGGGGTGAACGGGCAGACATGTGGGGTCCAGCAAGGTCCCCGGGGTGGACAGCCAAGGCGGTGCTGACCCTGCACCACGGAGGACGGTGGCCCAGCTGCCGGGGAGGTGGGGGGGCTCCTCCCTTCACCCCCTTCCTCTCCACAGTCCTGGACCCGCCCACCAACCTGACGGCCAGCGAGGTCACCCGGCAGAGCGTCCTGGTGTCCTGGGTGCCCCCCCGGGCCGCCATCGAGAACTACGTCTTGACCTACAAAGCCGCGGACGGAAGCCGCAAGGTGACCGCTGGGAAGAGGGGAGGGGGTTGCCCCCGCCCTGCTTGGGGTCTGACCTCCCGGCCGGGACCTGCCCCTCCTGGGGTGGGCAGGGTCGAAGCAGGGACACTTTGGAAGATGAGGTTAAAAGATTAAAAAGAAGTGGGGGGCCAGGGGAGTGATGGTACAACAGGGAGGGAGTTGGCCTGGCACGCGGCGGACCCGGGTTCGATCCCCGGCATCCCCTAGGGTCCCCCGAGCACTGCCAGGAGAGATTCCTGAGTGCAGAGCCAGGAGTCAGCCCTGAGCATCGCCGGGTGGGACCCAAACTCAAAACACTGTCCTCCCGTTGTTCATCGATTTGCTCAAGCGGGCACCAGGAACGTCTCCATGGTGAGACTTGTGACTGTGTTTGGCATCTCGAAGACGCTGCGGGGAGCTTGCCGGGCTCTCCGAGAGGGGCAGAGGAATCGAACCCGGGCCGGCCGCATGCCAGGCCAAGGCCCTCCCCGCTGTGCTATTTCACTGCCCTTCTTAGGAGTCGTTAGAAGAAAAAGCAACGCTCGCTGCCAGCTGCCTGGACGTGTGTACACCCAGAGGCATCAGTATATTGGGACATACCCCCGTATTGTTTTTTCTGCTGGGGGGTCCACATCTGGGGATGCTCAGGACTGACTCCTGGCTCTGTGCTCAGGGATCACTCCCGACAGTGCTCGGGGGACCCTATGGGATGCCGGGGATCGAACCCGGGTTGGCCACGTGCCAGACCAATGCCCTCCCTGCTGTGCTATTGCTCCAGCCCCCGAAATGAGTGTGTTAAGGGGGTCTCCCAGGGCACTGGGGTCTCTAGCTGGGCCCCATCACTTGGGGCGCAGTTCACGGCCTTCTGAGGTTGGCTTTGGTTGGTGGGTTGGTTTTGCTTTGGGGTCCCACCTGGTGATGCTCAGGGCTGACTCCTGGCTCTGGACTCGGGAATCCCTCCTGGCCGTGCTCGGGGGACCCTAGGGGATGCCGGGGATCGAACCCGGGCCGGCCGCATGCCAGGCCAACGCCCTCCCCGCCGCGCTAGGGCTCCAGTCCCTCGCTGTGTCTTAACCCCGGCCCTGGGTCCCGCAGGAGCTGATGGTGGACGCAGAGGACACGTGGGTGCGCCTGGAGGGCCTCCAGGAGAGGACGGACTACACGGTGCTGCTCCAGGCCGCCCAGCTCGGCGAGCGTAGCCGTGTCACCTCCACAGCCTTCAGCACGGGTGAGTGGGGGCCTGGCCCCACCGGCCGCGCCTCTGCCCTGTCCCCTCCTCTTGGCGCCGGACCAGAAAAAGCAGATGGACACCCCTAGTTCCCTCCCTGGCAAGCACCTCGCTGTTGATCCATTTCACAGACGGTAGCACTGAGGCCCCGGTGGTCCCAACCGGAAGTTTGTTCTGCCCCACTTGGGCAGCCTGAGAGCTGGCTACCGCCTCTCTGTCAGCCTGCCCTAGGCGACCCCGCAGGGCTGGTTGTGAGTGACAGAATGGGACACTGAGTCAGGAGCGGGAGGATGGGGAGTGTGGTCTCGGGCGCCTTTTCCTACTTTGGTTGTTTTCGGGGGCCGCACCCGGTGGTGCTCAAGGCTGACTCCCGGCTCTGCACTCAGGGGTCCCTCCTGGCAGGGCTCGGGGAGCACTGTGGAATGCCGGGGATCAAACCATCAAACCCGGGCCGGCCGCACGCCAGGCCAACACCCTCCCCCTGTCCTGCCGCTCCAGCCCAGAAATATTTTAGTAGGAAAATCTTGAGTTTGGGTCACGGGAACCAGCAGTGAGCTAGGATGGCCCCTTCCCAAGTGGGACTCTGGGGGGTTTCTGGCCTGCAGTGGGGTGCCGGTCACCCCCCACCCAGATCCTGCTCTGGGGGTTTCTCAGACTGAGGGGCACCCCCTTGGCTGGCCACCAAGGACCCACAGCTCGCTCTTCCCGGACACAGTGACATGTCGGGCTGCAGAGTGGCCAGGAGTAGCCGTGGGCTCGTCCCAGGTGGATGAGACTCATTTCCCCGCTACGCCAGCTCGTGTCAGTTTCTTGGAATCGTATATGGAAGAGCCGGTCACCAAAGTGACCATTGGTAGGTGGGTTTCGGACAGAAAGTTCCGGCACCAAACCCACCGCAGGTGTCAACTTCCTGGCCGCCCCAGGTCCCCCAACCTGCCACCACCTGCCAGGTGCATTTTAAAGGATGGGAGTTGGAGTTCGGGTGTCAGGTTTCAGAAAAGAAATACAAGGGGGAGGGGAGAAAGAGAGAGAGAGAGGAGAGAGAGAGGAGAGAGAAAGGAGAGAGAGAGGAGAGAGAAAGGAGAGAGAGAGAGAAAGAGGAAGAAGAAGGTAAAGAGAGAAGAGGAAGAGAGAGGAAGAAAGGGAGAGAGAGGAAGAGAGGGAGAAAGAGGGAAAGAGAGGAAGGGAGGGAGAGAGGGAGAGAGAGGGAGAGGAAGAAAGAAAGGAGAGAGAAGAGAAGGAGAAAGTAGATGGAGTTAGATGGAGAGAGAGGGATAGATCAGACAGAGGGATGAGGCTGAGGGCCAGCAGGCGTCTCTTCCCGGACACAGTGACATGCCGGGCTGGCTGTGGAGTGGCCAGGAGTAGCCAAACCCGCCGGTGGGTTTGGTGCCAGGAGTGTTTGGACACAAACACACACACACAATCCCGTCTGCCTCCGCCTCAGGCCTCGGAGCTTCCTGTTCCCACGTCGCTGATATTTGTCTGGGACTCTGGGGGGCCTTAAACGAGTAGTCAGGAGGGGGGAAAAAACAACAACAAGAACGCGGAGATCCATTATTTATGATTCACGGTCGCCTGAAATCCCATCCCAGGCCTGCTCGTGTTTTGGACATGAATGAGAATGAGGAAACGGATATTCATTCCCCACGGAGCACCGGGCACTTGCTTTAAGAGCATCTTGGGACGATGCGGTTCCGTTGTCTTTATTAGTATGACTGTAGTGCCGAAGGAGAGGGGGTGCGTGTGTGAGAGCCGGTCCTCGGAAGCGGGAGCACTGTCCAAGGAGCCGTCTCGCCTCTAAGACTCGTTTGCGGAGGGGACCCCCCCCCCAGCACCCCAGCAAGGTGTGGCCGAACCAGCTTGAATTTTTTTTTTTTTTGAGTTTTTGGGTCTCACCCGGCGATGCTCAGGGCTGGCTCCCGGCTCTGCACTCAGGGATCACTCCCGGCGGTGCTCGGGGGACCCTATGGGATGCTGGGAATCGAACCCGGGTCGGCCATGTGCCAGGCCAGTGCCCTCCCCCTGTGCTCTCGCTCCAGCCCTGCATGGAGGAACGTCTCAGACACCAAAGAGCGAAAGGCTGTGGGGATCGGGGGCCGGGGCGGCGAGGAGGGACGTGCCGACATCCCACACGCAGCTCACAGGGGTCACCTCTGGGTGTTTTGTCCCCCGGACAGGAGGCCGGGTGTTCCCGCACCCGCAGGACTGTGCCCAGCACCTGGGCAACGGAGACACCCTCAGTGGGGTCTACACCATCTTTCTCCACGGCGAGCCCAGCCAGAAGCTGCAGGTGTACTGTGACATGGCCACCGATGGGGGCGGCTGGACCGTGAGTGGCCATGTCCCCTCCTCCCCCGCTGCTCACCAGCCCCTCCCCCACTTCTTCGGCCAGAGAAACGGCCTGTGGGGGGGTGGGCTGCCGGGAGGGAGGGTCGGGCAGTGCAGGGTGTCAGAGACCCCCGGGGGTCCTGCTGGTGCTGGTCAGGGTCGCTCTTGGGGGCATCCGCCTGGCCCGGCCACTCTGACTCGAGCCACTGGCTCAGGTGGGAAGACCCCCGCCCCACCCGCCAGAAGCCGCCCCGGGGCTCGGAGTTCCCCCCTCCCAGGCCCGGTGGGACGGCAGAGCGCCCCCAGCAAGGGCCTCCGGGCTCGGGGCCGGGGGTCCCTGTCCAGACAGCTCACACTCTGGGGCAGAGTTTGGGTGGAGTCACAGGCGGGTGGGCCACTCGCAAGATTTCAGGGGACACACACACACACACCCTCCCCCAGGCTCTCGGGACCGAGAGACACACCCTCCCCCAGACTCTCAGCATGGACACACACACATACACACTTTCTCTCTCTCTCTCAGGACAGACAGACACACACACTCCCCAGGCTCTAGAGATGGACACACACACACACACACACCCTCCCCCCAGATTCTCAGCATGGACACACACACACACTCTTTCTCTCTCAGGACAGACACACATACCCTCCCCAGGCTCTAGAGATGGACACACACACACACACACACACACACACACACACACCCCCTCCCCAGGCTCTTGGGACAGACAGACACACATACACACACCCTCCCCCAGACTCTCAGTATGGACACACACACACTCCCCAGGTTCTAGAGACAGATACACACACACAACAGACACACACACCCTCCCCAGGCTCTTGGGACATACACACACACTCTCTCTCTCTCTCTCTCTCTCTCTTTCTCTCAGGACAGACACACACACCCTCTAGAGATGGACACACACACAACAGACACACACACCCTCCCCAGGCTCTTGGGACACACACACACACTCTCTCTCTCTCTCTCTCTCTCTCTCTCTCTCTCAGGACAGACACACACCCTCTAGAGATGGACACACAAACACAGACATACACACACCCTCCCCCAGACTCTCAGCATGGACACACGCACACCCTCCCCAGGGTCTAGAGATGGACACAGACACACAACAGACACACTGGTCCCCTCCCCCAGGCTCTTGGGACACACACACACACACACACACACACACACACACGTTGGTTTGTTCCCAGCTGCCCGTTTGGTGCCTCACTGTCAGCACCTGAAAACTCTTCCCTCCCTCGGGGTCCGGGCCGCCTCCGGACCCTGGCACTCGGGGGCTCCCGCGGTCCAGCCTCTGGCCCCAGCACGGCCGGGGGTGGGGGTGGGGGCCTGGGGGTCCCTCCCTCGGGGAAGGCCCTGAGCCCCCCAGCCGTGCTCCCCGCCTCCCCACAGGTGCTCCAGCGGCGGCAGAACGGGCAGACGGATTTCTTCCGCAAGTGGGCTGAGTACCGCGCGGGCTTCGGGAACCTGGAGGACGAGTTCTGGCTGGGTAGCCCACCCCCCCGGGACCCCCTCCCGCCCACTGTCCAGCCGGGGGGTAGGGGGTGTCGGGGCGAGTCTGACAACTGTCTGGACCCTCTGGGCGCCGTTTCCTGCGGCTCCTGACTCTCCCGTCCTCGCTAACGGGCTCTGGGCTGACGGCTTTGGACAGGAGCCCGAGCAAAGGGGCTGGGGCTCGTGCCGGGCGCTGGGATCCCTTCCGCCACTGAGCACTGACAGGGGAGCCTCCCGTGGGCACGGGGCCGGGAATCAGCCCTGAGCACCCCCAGATGTGACCCGCCAAGGGAAACAAAAGTCGGGGCGGAGTGATAGCCCAGTGGGGAGGGCGTTGGCCTGGCACGTGGGTGACCCGGGTTCGATCCCCGGCATCCCAAAGGGTCCCCTGAGCACCGCCAGGAGTGATTCCTGGGTGCATGTGCCAGGAGTAGCCCTTGTGCATCTCAGGGTGTGACCCAAAAAGGAAAAAAAAAAGACAAAGTGATACAAAGTGTCATAGTGTTTTGAAGGTGATACAAAGTATCATAGTGTTTAATGGGTGATACAAAGTATCATGGTGTTTAAAAGGTGATACAAGGGCTGGAGCCATAGCACAGCGGGGAGGGCGTTTGCCTGGCATGCAGCCGACCCGGGTTCGATCCCCAGCATCCCCTAGGGTCCCCCGAGCACCGCCAGGAGTGATTCCTGAGCGCAGAGCCAGGAGGAACCCCTGAGCATCACCGGGTGGGGCCCAAAAAGAAAAAAAAAACATAAATAAATAAAAAATGATTCCAGGCCGGACGCTCGGAGAACAAGGGGAAGGGTTGTGGTCGGGGGCGGGTGGGGACCCCTCCTGTGAGACGCTGCCTCTCTGGCCCCTCTCCCACCCCCAGGGCTGGACAATATCCACAGGATCACGTCCCAGGGCCGCTACGAGCTGCGTGTGGACATGCGGGACAACCAGGAGGCCGTGTTCGCCGTGTACGACCGTTTCCTGGTGGAGGACGGCCGAAGCCTTTACAAGCTGAGGTTGGGCGCCTACAACGGCACCGCAGGTACCCGGGCGTAGATGTGACCCCACCCGGGCGCGGGGCTCGCTCCCTCCCGGCAGGGCTCGGGACCCAGGGACTGAACCCGGCTCATCCCACCAGCCCCATTATCGCTCCAGCGCCCCCGTGGGCTTCCCATGTCAAGAATCACTTATCACTCATCATCCCGTTGTTCATTGATTCGCTCGAGCAGACGCCAGTAACGTCTCCATTCGTCCATGCCGCCTGCTAGTGTAGCCAGATGGCGTATTGGGGGCTCTTTTTTCAGGGTCAGGGGAATGAGGACCGTCGTTGTGACTGTTTGGCATCTCGAAGACGCCACGGGGAGCTTGCCAGGCTCTGCCGTGCGGGCGGGATCCTCTCAGGAGCTGGCTGGGCTCTCTGAGAGGGACGGAGGAATCGAACCTGGATTGGCCACGTGCCAGGCAAACACCCTATCCACTATGCTATCGCTCCAGCCCAATAATAATAATAATAATAATAATAATAATAATAATAATAATAGCACCGTCCTCCCGTTGTTCATGGATTTGCTCGAGCAGGCACCAGTAACATCTCCATGGTGAGACTTGTTGTGACTGTGTTTGGCATCTCGAAGACGCCACGGGGAGCTTGCCAGGCTCTGCCGTGCGGACAGGATACTCTCTGGAGCTTGCCGGGCTCTCCGAGAGGGACGGATGCAGATGAAATTTTGCCTCACTCTCTTCCAGAAGCTCTAGTTGATAGTCTCTGGGTCTTGGCCTTTGATGAGATTATGTGGCACCGGGGGCCGTTTGTGGGTGCGGCTGCCAAGCTACTGGAAAACTGGGGGTCTGGGGGGGGGAGGAGGCCCCGTCCTGATCCGAGCTGGCTTGGAGGTCTCAGCCCCGGGTCCCGCATACCTGGATCCTGCATGTTAAAGAATAACGATGATATAGGGCTGGAGCGATAGCACAGCGGGGAGGGCGTTGGCCTTGCACACGGCCGACCCGGGTTCGATTCCCAGCATCCCATAGGGTCCCCCGAGCACCGCCAGGAGTGATTCCTGAGTGCATGAACCTGAAGTAACCCCTGTGCATCGCCAGGTGGGACCCAAAAAGCAAAAAAAAATAAATGATGATAACGCAGTGGGTGGTCAGGGGCCCTTTCTCCTCACCTGGATGCTTGGGTCCAGGAGGGAGAATCGGATTCATGGGCTCATGGCACGTCTGAGGGTCCTCGTGGTCACCCATTCTTAACTCTTTCCTCTCCACAATCCCATTCTCTGGCTGCCTCAGTAACACAGAGCCAGCTTAGGCCCAGCCCACCTCTGCGGTTCATGAACCCACCGCGGGGTGCCCGGGGGTCACGGCCCTTCCCATCCACACCATGGCCAGGGCCAAAGGCCAGTGTCTAAATCTAGCCCCATATGGCCGGAGCGACAGCACAGTGGGGAGGGCGTTGGCCTGGCACGCAGCCAACCCGGGTTCGATCCCCGGCATCCCCTAGGGTCCCCCGAGCACCGCCAGGAGCGATTCCTGAGTGCAGAGCCGGGAGTCGGCCCTGAGTATCGTCGGGTGGGACCTTCAAAAGCCAAAATCAGTTAACATATAACCCCATATTTCTGCCTCTTGGAATGACAAGACCATTAAACGAGGCCTGGTGCAAACAGCAGCTCTTGTCACTCAAAAGTCAAGACCTGCTTCTTGAGCTGGAGCGATAGCACAGCGGGGAGGGCGTTTGCCTTGCATGTGGCCGACCCGGGTTCGATTCCCAGCATCCCATAGGGTCCCCCGAGCACCGCCAGGAGTGATTCCTGAGTGCAGAGCCAGGAGTCAGCCCTGTGCATCGCAGGGTGAAAAAAATAATTAAATAAAGGTGTGTCTTTACCACCTTCTGGGCCTGGGTCCCTGTGGGGGACCCTGAGAGACCCAAATCCGGTGCCTCTCTGTCCCCTGGGGTGCTCACAGAGAACTCACCAGGAAAGTGGGTGATGGAGACACTGCAAACCCGGGTTCGATCCCCAACATCCCATAGGGTCCCCCAAGCACCACCAGGAGTGATCCCTGAGTGCAGAGCCAGGAGTCAGCCCTGAGCATCGCCGGGTGGGACCCAAAAAAACAAACAAACAAAAAAGACCTGCTTCTCCTTTCGACACTGGGACCACCCTGGCGGGCGCCCAGAAAGCCACAAAGGGCCCTCCTGGATGGCCCCAGGGGCCGGCTTGGGGTCTCCAACTGCCAAAGGGCCAACTAAGAGTCCAAGACATTTAAGCCGGCCACCCCCATGGGGTCCCCGTCCCGCAAGCCCTTCTGCCGCCCTTCAGACCCTCTCCCCAGGATGTTTTCTCCAAGTTGGGCCTGGGTCCCAGCCACCGCAGCCGCCAGCACCCCCTGCCCTCGTGGGGGTCATGTCCTCCCCCTCCTGGCCTCTGTCCAGGGCCGATTTCCTGTCCATCATGGCCCTTCCTGCCCGCTCTAGGCCGGCCCTCCCCTGCCCTGTCCTTCTGTCCCCGGGGACACGAGCCCCGACCCTCACCGCTCCCCAAAGCCCTCCTGAGCTCCGATGTAGCGCTGACCCCAGGGGGCCGGGTCAGGCTGGCCCCGCCGGGCGCCGAGTGGACGGGTGTCTCGGGGAGGCCCCCCCAGGTGACGCATGTGTCCTTCCTCACAGGGGACTCCCTAAGCTACCACCAGAGCCGCCCCTTCTCCACGCAGGACCGGGACAATGACGTGGCCGTCACCAACTGCGCCGTGTCCTACAAGGGCGCCTGGTGGTACAAGAACTGCCATCGGGCCAACCTCAACGGCAAGTACGGCGAGTCCCGGCACAGCCAGGTGAGCGGCGGAGAGGCAGACGACAGGCACACATTGCCAGATCCCGTTCCAGAAGGTTCCACGGGAGACCCCGAGAGGCCCAGGGATGGGGAGAGCAGAGGTGGGGGACTTCCCCATGGGCTGGACTGTGGGGGACAGAGTGGGGGCTGCCGGACCCTCCCGCCCTGGGGTCAGCACAGGTGAGACCAGAGAGGGCCTCGAGGCAAGGGGCACCCACACGGGCATCTCAAGGCCAGGCGTGCCCGTGGACGCATGTGACCCCCAGTGGGCAGGTGGTACTGCCCAGGACACATAAACACATGCACTGTGGACACACGTAACCCCCAGTGGACACATATATCTCTTCAGAACTCCCTGTGGACACGTGTGAGTTCCTGTGGGCACATGGGTCTCCCTGTGACTCCCCAGTGGACACGTGTGACTCCCTGTGACTCCCCAGTGGACACGGGTATCTCTCTGTGACTCCCCAGTGGACATGTGTGATTCCCCAGTGGACACATGTGATTCCCTGTGACTCCCCAGTGGACACATGTGATTCTCCAGTGGACACGTGTGACTCCCTGTGACTCCCCAGTGGACACATGTGACTCCCTGTGACTTCCCAGTGGACACATGTGATTCCCCAGTGGACACATGTGATTCCCCAGTGGACACGTGTGATTCCCCAGTGGACACGTGGGTCTCCCTGTGACTCCCCAGTGGACGCGTGTGACCCCCAACCCCAGGACTCTCTGGGCAGGGCCACGGGAGGCAGGCGGTGACCCTGGTGACGCGGCCTCTCTCCTCCCCAGGGCATCAACTGGTACCACTGGAAGGGCCACGAGTTCTCCATCCCGTTCGTGGAGATGAAGACGCGGCCGTTCGGGCATCGGGAGGCCGGGCGGCGCCGCCGGTCCCTGTGGGTCTGAGGGCGGCCGTGGCCCTCGGACCTTCTCGCCTTTGGACAACATGAAACCACGGGCAGGGGGTCGGTCACTGCGAGGGGGCTCCCCGGGGGGGGGCCTTGGTCCCCTCCCATCCCCCACCCTCCCCCCTCTCCTTCCCGGGCTCAGAGGCCAAGAAGAGCCTGCAGGGGTGAGGTCAGGGACGGGCGGGTCCATGAGAAACTGCCCCCACCCAGGCCTCTGCCTTCCCGCACGGGTCCAGCCCTGCAGTGGCCAGGCCACCATGGCCATCCCTGCAGAGGCGACTCGGAGCTCAGCCCGGCCCGGCACCCACGTCCCTCCCCTGGGGACTGACCCAGCGTGTCCCCCCCACCCCCGTCTCCACGGCTCAGCGCAGGCCCTCTGTGCCGGGCGCCCGCTCGGACCCTTTGTCCTGCTCTTAATTCTTTCCTGGACTGCAAACGCGAAAGGTCACTCCTGGGCCTGGTCAGGCTCCCCAGGGCTGAAAGAAGAAGGGAGGGTGCCGGTCCGGCACGCAGCCCACCCGGGTTTGGGTTTGGTCCCCCCCCATCCCACACCCCCCCCAGGCCCCGCCAGGAGGGACCCCCAAGTGCAGCCCAGAAGCCAGAAGAGAAGGAAGAGGAAGAGCGATCCTGGGGTCCGACTCCGTCTTTCAAAGTCTTCCAGATTTGGGGGTGGGGGGACATGAGTGACCTTTTTTTTTTTTCTTTGCTTGTTTGGGTCGTACCCGGCAATGCGCAGGAGTTACTCCTGGTTCATGCACTCAGGAATCACTCCTGGCGGTGCTCCGGGGGACCCTATGGGATGCTGGGAATCGAACCCGGGTCGGCCGCGTGCCAGGCCAACGCCCTCCCCGCTGTGCTATGGCTCCAGCCCCACGAGTGACCCCTCTAACGAGGTGACTTCACAAGTGGACTTAGCCTTTGAAAAGGAAGATGCAGCGGGGAGGAATCGCACCAGGGAATCCAAAAGGGACCAGGGCTGGCCCAAGACCCCCTGGGCCCTGGTTGGTGGCGAAGCCCGGGAAAGCCAGAGAGAACCCGTCACCCGGTCCCAATCAGATGGCGGGAGCTGTGCCTGTGGTCCCTGCCCGGCTCAGCCCGGCCTCCCCTGATGCCCACCCCTACACACACACAACCTTCCCTCAAGGTCCAGCTGTTATTACAGCCTCGTCCACTGTCAGGCCAACGGGGGGCCATAACTGTACCTCCCCCCACCCCGCTTGGGGAAGCGACATTCACTCACGCAGAGGCTCGAACCCCACGGCCTCGGACACAGGGTGACCACGGTGTCCCCCGGCTCCCAGAAAGACGACGGGACAGCCACAGACCTTTCCAGAAGCCTGTCAGGGATGCGGGTCCCGGCTGGTTCCTCCCTGCCGGGGCGGGGAGGGGTCCCAGTCTGGTTCCCCGCCCCTCACGCCTGAACATTCCAGCTAACTGCGGGGTCGGTGCTCACGTGGGTCCACGTGGGTGTGGGCGGCCGAGAGGACATTATAGCAGACCAACAGGCCAGGAGCAAGGACGGACGGGGTGGGCGCTTGCCTTGCACGAGGCTGATAGGGTTCAACCCCTGAACCCCACCGGGACCCCCGAGCACCGCCAGGACTGAGAGATCTCTGAGCATCGCCAGGTTAAGCCAAAACAACAGACCAAAAAAAAAAAAAAAAAAAGCTGGCCTCGACTTCCCTAAAATTGGCAGTGGTGAGGGCAGGGGGGTCCTTTGCACATTCCCTCGTCTTTAGAGACCCCCCCCATTCCATTCTCTTCCCCAAGGTCAAGAGTCGCTGTACTCGGCGCCTGGAACCCGCGCCCTGGATTGTAGTTCAATGCTCCCGCGTACCCGAGCAAAGGGTCGTCACGTGATGCTTCACACGGACGCGAGTCCCCCCCGCCCCCCAGCCAACCCATGCCCAAAAGGGGCGCTGTGTGCGGGCGTTTGATTGCAGAGACACATTTGGGGACCTGGACTCGCCCAAACCCACCGCCCAGACCCCAGCCAGGCGGTGACCCCTTTCCTGCCTGGCCCATCCGAGTTTCCAGGCCCGGCTTCTCCAGGGTTGGGTCCAAGCAGAGAGGGGGGACCCTACCAGCTATAAGGCAACACCAGGTGGGGGCACACACACACACACACACACACACACACACACACACCCCTCCAGAAAGTCCTCCAGGCTTCAAACCCCCCCCCCCCCAAGCTTCCCAATCTAGGACCTGGAGGGGAACTGGCCCACTGCCGTTCACTGGCCTCCACTAACCAAAGCAAAGCGATGGCTCGCCGGGGTGCCCGCACGTGGCCAGGCCCGTGGCGTGGTTGGGTGCTCGTCCCCAAGTGCGCCCATCGGCCAGCGAGTACCCAGCCCGCTCGTCCCAGCCATGCTGTGCTACCTTGGCTCTCCTGACGCCACCACAGGGCCCGCCTTGCCCGAGGGACCTCCCTGCCCGCCTGTCCTTGGCAACCCTACAAGTTGTGGCCTTTGTCCCTCAACAGGAACCCCCCCATTCCGCCCCCACCCCCCAGTCGTGGCCTCACAAAGCAGCCAGGCAGCCCAGCCAGACCCCCAGCAGCTCTGGACAAGGTCTTGAGGAAGGACCCGGGGATCAGTTTCCCCTGCAGTTAAATTTAACTCCCTCCCAGTTAAAACTGGCATCTCCCAGTTCAAGGGGCCTTGGCTCTGACAAGCACCCCTGGGAGACTCATCTGAGTCACAAGAGGGGCTTTGGGTACAGACCCTCCCTGTTTTTGCTCAGCCCGGCCCGACCCCACCCCCCCACCAATGAGGTTTGCCATCTGACAGGGCGTGGGCTCCACACTGCCCCCCTAAGGCCAACGCCGGAACGACACCTCCCGAGCAGGGGATGATTCCATCACCTATGCAGGGTCCAGAGGTGGGGTCCTCGCCTGCACCCTGACCCCAGCTCAGCCCCTTGCAGATGGTGAGGAGGGGAGTCGGCGAGGCTCAGGGACAGCCCTGCCGCCGCTGCCGCTGGCCCCCACCGGGAGCTCTCGCTCTGACGCCTTCCTGCCGGAACTCCCAAGCATTCCGCCCCTCCCGCCCAAGGGTCTTGGACCTCGGATGTTCTCGCGACATATTCTCCCGTGGCCTTGTCACCCCCTTCCTAAGCTCTTGGATTTGCCCTTTGGGTCCCACCCGGCGATGCTCAGGGCTGACTCCCGGCTCTGCACTCAGGAATCACTCCTGGCGGTGCTCGGGGGACCCTAGGGGATGCCGGGGATCAAACCGGGGTCGGCCACGTGCCAGGCCAACGCCCTCCCCGCTGTGCTATCCCTCTGGCCTCCCTTAATTTCGGGAGGAAAGAGAGCGTCAGAGCAGTCTGGGAGGGGACGCTGAGGACAGCCCCGAAGGACACTGCAGGCTGTTGGATCCCTGACCTCCAGACCTCAGAGTGCTCCCGGCATGGAGAGCAGGAGACAAGTGAAGGTTACGGGGGTCCCCGTCTCCCTCTCCCTCCCTCACCTTCCTGAACCGTCTGGGGAGGTGCAGAGGGCCTCAACCTCCCCTCTTTGCCGTTTGGGGAGTCACAGAAGGAAACCAGCCCTCGGGGAACTTGTTTCAAGCTGCCGAACCGTGCTCCAGTGATGAAGGTCATTCTCCCCCATGGAAAGCCAACGTCCATGGAAAGGTCTGGATCGCCGCTACCCGTCCACCCCAGAGTTCTGCATGTTAGGGTTCTCTCCCAGGGGAGAGCGCCAACTCAGGTGGGAAACGGCGGGCCCCAATGGTACCTGCAGAACGGCCGTCCAAAGTAGAGCCCTCAGCCAACACAGTGCCCCCCCCAACTCACGGGGCTGTGTCTGTGGGTCATGGCCCCCCAAACTCACAGTGCCACTTGTATGGGTCACGACCCCCCAGACCACGGTGCCCATCTATACACGTCCTTCCCAACCGCTGGTTTCTCCTTCCTGTGACTTCCGGTCACACCCCGATCATGCCAAGCTGCCCACAGCTGTCCCCATGGTCCCAGCCACGACCTTCCCGGGTGTCCTGAGGAGTCACAGACTCGGAACCATTTTTTTGGGGGGGTGGGGTGCTGGGGCCGCCGACGCCCACCCTGGCCATCCCAGCCTGCGGCTCTGAGACACTCTCCACACCAAACCCTCTTCCAGCCCCTCTGAAATCTCAGCGTCTCCCTCCATCCTGAATGGGCTGCCCACTGGGCACCTCCCTGGCCAGAAGCCAACAGAGCGGGTGCTGGGCGGGCGCCATGGAACTGCACAAATGGGATGAATCGAAGCAGACCCAGGGAACTGCACGAACTGGTGAATCGCCACAGACACAGGGAACTGCAGGAACGGGGTGAATCGCCACAGACACAGGGAACTGCAGGAACGGGTTGAATCGACACACCCAGGGAACTGCACGAATGGGGGGGGGCATCGACATAGACCCAGGTGGGGAGGGGCATACAGGACCCCCTGCTGACCTGCAGCCACTGAGATGGACCCTCCGCCTGGCCCCCATTGTTAACTCGTACTTTTACTGCCGGTTGCTTTTAGCCTCTGTATAGGTCCTTTTTTAAACACATTTTCTATACGTTAATAAAAGATCAAGAAAGCAGGTGGTCTCTGGGGGCTTATGTTCTCCTCCCTGGGGGTCGCCAGACACCCACCTCCCCTGTCCCCGTCTCTTCAGAGCGGCCCCTTGAGTAACCCCTGAGGGAGGGGCACTACAACCCTCTTGTAGTCCAACAGCCCAAAGATCTCAGTATGGAGCCGGAGCGATAACATAGCAGGGAGGGCGTTTGCCTTGCTGACCTGGGTTCGATCCCCGGCATCTGCCAGGAGTCAGCCCTGAGCACCGCCGGGTTTTGACTCAGGTACAAGAACAAGAAAACAAAACCCAAGCACAGGCCCAGAGAGCTACCACGGCAGGTGGGCGTTTGTGGGTTCCATCCCCGGCAACCCACGTGGCGCTCGAGGCTGCCAGGACTAAACCCTGAGCACCACCAGTTGGGGCCCAAAAATCAACCCCAAGAAATCCAAGAAATCCAACTTTGGG